GCTTCGAGGGAGCAATCTGCACCTGAGAGAATATATCCAAAGCTGGTCCTGAATTGACCAGGCTCGTGCCGCCGCCCCCGCTGGCTGTTACATCGCGAGATGCCTCCCTGTAATGGTATCCGCGCTGCGAGAGCATCGGAGAAATCAGCCTCAAGGGCGCTTATCCGAAAGATTTGGCCTGGCGGGTTCAAGTGCCCGCGCATCCACGCCCTGTATTCCTTCCCAAGCTTGCCGTAGCGCGACGTATGTACGGTGCGCTACATCGCACCACATGTGGTGGGGGGGTCGGACGGGCCTAGAACGAAGATAAATCCGTTCCAGAGCGTTCCGGAACGCCCTGCAAGGCGGCGGCGCCCGAGACATCCCCCAGAGCCGCCAGATCTCAGAGATTCCAGATTTATCCGCACCCGATGTTGTCCTCGTCCTGGCTTCGTCTCAGGGGGGGCAAGCGGTGGGCTGATGATTCGAAGACGTGGCTGCGACTGGAGAGTCAGTTGCGAAGAACTTGCGCGCTACCCCCGCTACCTCTCGTGCTGCGGGGATGAACATGTCTTTGAGCAGGGACCGACCGTCCTGGCATTTCTATAGGCCTACCACGAAATTGTCTTAGAACCCAGAAATGTTCTAAGAACAAAAACAGTGTTCTTAGAACATAAGCCTGATTTGATAAAAATAGAATAGTCTTAGTCAGACAGGTTTGGAGAACATGGTTTGGTGGGCCTATAGGCGAGCCAGGACACTTCGCCACTGCTTGATGTCTGTCGCGCCTCGGATCACATCCTCACCTCGTGTGCTCGCCGCCGGGAGCTCGAGCGATGGCAGGGGCCTGCCTGGAGGACTGCGTGGCCAACGCCGCCTGTTCACTCGGCCGAAGGGGGGGTAAAGTGCGGATCAATACCCTAGGGTACAATCAACCAATATATAAGGATGCGCGATAAGGATGAAACGGCCTTGGAAGGCCACGTCGAAGCTTTTTGAGCGGGGCGCGGCCAACGAAAGTGGCCAAGGATGGGCCGAGGAGGCAAGGATGCAAGGGTACCCTTGGGACGGTTGCCCACCCTTACTATTCGGGTTGACTGTATTCACTTTCGCTGCACGGGGTTAAACATGTGCTAAGCTTGCAACGTTGACCAACTGAAACGTAACATGACCACGAAGCACATGACCATGAACCTTGCTCACGTCCACAAACGGGGGAGTCAACGGAGGGTAGCGAGGGGAGGATGTGGTCTGCAGACGTCGGACGGCGAGAGTGTCGGAATCAAGTCACACACGACATGCATACAGTCTTGTGCGGATATGGAACGTACGGAACACGCAACAAAGACACCCAAATCCAATACCATCCAACAGATGTTCCGTGTCGTGTTCGACCAAGCAGGCAATGCTAATACATTATCCTCGCGGTTCTCGGCTACATTTTCCTATTTCGCCTCCGCCTGTCCTCCGTCTCCTTTCTGCCTTCTCCCCCTTTGCACGGTGCTTCGAGCTCGGTGCACTGATAAGTTACTGGACGTGCGGACCTATGACCCAAAGAATGTTCACAAGGCCGTGCAGACCAAACATTTACCAATCCAGCTCGCGACAAAAAATCCAATCTGCCTTGCGTGCCCGACGAATCCCTCTCATCGTATCCCCAACGTCATCGCGAAGTGTGTTTCGCCGTGTGGACTGGAGTGGGGTCGTTCGTCCGACATTGCTTCTCTGTGCTCACACCTGCTTAGCATCTATTGGTCTGCCACTGCCCTTGCCCGTCGAGTCCCAAAATTCCTTGCCGCCGCATCTTCCAGATAAATCCGATTGCAACCGCAGCCACCATGGACAATAACGCCACCGACACCGCAACCTCCCGTCAGACTTCGGATATGGCCGCTTGCGCTCTACTGTTCACGCCCTGCTCGCACCAATGAAAGTATGCTGTGAATGTTCGCACTTGGAAAACGCAGCATGCAAATTTCTCTCCTATTCCCTCCTGCTTCCCCGCCATGAACCCAAATTGGCATGGAGGCGACACCACAATCAATACGAGATGTGCCCACGTGTGCCACAATACGTGCTCACCCCTCTGCACAAGGACCGTCGTAAGAGCCCGTGAACGGGTATCTCCAGATGACGCCGTGTGGCCAACATTGACAGGTATTCCTCACTTCCCCAAGCCAGGCTCAAGATTGCGTTCCAACTTCGTGCATGCAATCATGGAACAATCATTTCAATTTCGTTGATTAAGTAGTCCTGACCGACAGGTCCATGCATGCCGCTACGCATGACATCACGCGCGGAGCTCGGCCACGTCCCTCAACTTCTGCATGGGCATTGGAACACCGCACCACTAAACTCGGCGAAAAAACACCATAAGCATAACAACATCACAACACCTAAGCCAACCAAATCCGCCACCGTGCCCCCTGGCACGTTGAGGCGTCTTAGAATGCCAAGCGCTGTCTGGTAGGGTTTCTGTAATCTTCTATGGGGCCTACCCCTCTCCCCGTCGCACCTCGTCGCGCGCACCGGCCATACTCCCAGGGAGTCCCTGGGCGGCCATGGCGCCTCCATGGGGCTCTTCAAGGCTTTCATGACGGCCCAGGAGGCCCCCAGGACGGTCCAAGAGGGCCCCGAGTCGCCGAACGATCGCTCGAAGACGCCCAAGATGGCCTCAAGATTCCGCGCAAGAGCCTTCCAAGGCGCCCAAAGAGGGCCCCGAAAGGCACACATTATGTATTTCCCTTTTGTTTTTGAAGGATTTTGGCGTTCTCGCCTTCTCACCTTTCCGACGCTCCTTGTCGGCCCAAGAGACCCCCAAGACCACCCCAAAACGGCCCGAGAGGCCTCCAAGACGGTCTAAGATTGCCCCAAGACGGCACAAGAGGACCCCAAGACGGCCCCCAACGGGGCCCCAGACGTGGAACACGAACCGAAAATCCGAGCCGCCCCAAGGGGCCCCCAGGAGGCCACAAGAGGCGCCCAAGAGGCCCCGAGAGGCCCCCAAGAGACTCCCAAGAGGTCCCAAGAGGCTCGAAAAAGGCCCTCAAGAGGTATTCAAAACTGCTCCAAGAGGCCCCCGAGAGGCCTCCCACGAGATCACAACGAACATCCACTAGGCTTCTAACCCACAGTCCAAGCACGGTGGCGGGACTCGCCGCAAGCAGCTGGAGAAGGTTATAGCGAATCTCTGTCATTACATGACGGGTTCCGGAAACCCTGAACCCAAAAATGTTGTCATCTCTCGGGGGCGCATGTTTTACTTTCGCCACTTTCCGCCACCTTCCGCCGGCCTCGTCTTACTTCCGCCGACCTTCTGCCGCCTTCCGTCGAGGCAGAGATCACAATTCCGAAGGCAAGGCCTCTTCTGGAACGCTCCACACGTGACATCACCGCTTCGGTTTGCCACTCCGCTCCAATCTGATCTCCAGATCCCCCGAACCGCCGCCTCGCTTTCCCCGTCAGATTTTTGGCCGCCATGCGCTTCCCTTTACACCCCTGCTCTGCTGCGGCGCGGCTCCAGGAACCAATGCCAGGTGGCAGCACCCTGTGCTCACTCCACCCAAGGAAAAGACATGGCGGATGTCGGTAACCCTCACCCCAAAAACGTTGTCTTCTCTTTGGGGCGCATTTTTTTCAGAGGCGACGGTAGGGGCGAATAGCCCAGGGGAGAGCAATACATGTATTCAGGTGCGCCGATGATCTATGTCTTCGAAAGGGCTCCCGGGCGAATACGTGTAATGCCCGCCCATGGGCTATTCTTTGGACGCCCGAAATGGGTACGGAAAAACAAGTACAATGCCCAACAACAAATGTTGCCCCAAGCCAACAGCGGCCGCTGTTGGGCAGGCGGCCTTCTGTCTCAAATGGACACAGGCCGCGGCGGCGCGGACAGCGAGTCCTGTTCTCAATGAACAGGAACTGCTGTTGGGCATTGTACCCATTCTTTCCGTACCAATTTCGTTTGTGCCGATCTTCGCTTCTATCGTCGCCGCCGGTTGTTACTTCCGCCGCCTTCCGCCGGCCTTCCGCCGGCGGCGGCCGGCGGAGGCGGCCTCGGCTTACGCCCACCGCCCTTCCGCCGCCTTCTGTCGAGGAAGAGGTGACAACTCCTTCGGTCCTCGAAGGCAAGGTCCCTCTTGGAACGCCTCACATTGAAGGGGCCCTGGGCCACACACATCAATATACACAAATAGCATGATTTCCTATATTTTCACATATTTCCGGGGGTTTTGTCTTCCCCCCACTTTCCATATTTTCTAATATTTTCTGGGGGATCGTCGATTAATTGTGTCTGTGTGTTTTTTCCCTCCTGGCACATGTGAATCCGATCTCTGCAGACCAGCTTCCTGAAATGCCAGCAGGGGTTCCGAATCCGGAGGATGCCTGCAGCCAAGTCAGCCCCAGGGGTGTCCGATACGACCATCGTGCTGCCATAAGAAGCGCTGAATAAGAAACGAATGCTTTTTTTCTTTGTTCTTTTTCTGGCCACGACGAACCTCGGCAACGAATCGATTCCCAAACCTGCAACCAGAAAGCCATGCCCCCCTGCGCCTGAAGTGGTCGCCGTTTCAGCGACGTGACTGTTCCCCCCAGCGTGGACTGGACCCGCAGGGGCAGGTTTCGCAATCGGTTGCAGAATCCTATCATCTCTCAGCCGCAATGCCAGCAGGGAGCCGACTGCCTCGTGGCAGGTGGGAGGCCGACTTCAGGGTACTGATCGCATGCACCACCGCCCGTGGCTGCGTGCCAGGGTCGGGCCCCCCCTCCCCTGGGTGTGCAATCCACGCTCGACGCCTCCGTACGCCGTCAGAATGTCAACGTTTCTTTTACGCGGCGTTTCGACACTGGGCGGAAGGGGGCGGGGAGGGGGGGGCCTGGCTCCGGACATCTGCTCAGTGCGACTGCTTGCAGCAGCGGGTCCTGTGGGGGAGACTCCACTGGCTCGAAACAGGCGCCCCAACACAGCCAGGAGCTGCTCCAGCAGGGGGGAGGGGGGAGGGAGGGGGGTGCGACGGCCCGCGCCGATCGGCAAAACATTGAACCAACACTGTCCAATGACATTAAAACGATTGAAAACGATCACAACAGATCACCGAAAACGATCACAATAGATCACGATTGAAAACGATCACATAAAAACCAAAACATCGGCAAAACATTGAAAACTATCACAATGGATCCAACACTGTCGTCGTGCTACCGCAGGGACCACTGGCCAAGGAACGAGGGGGCTTTTCTGGCCACGGCGAGCCTCGGCCACGGATAGGTCTCCTGGCCCATACCTAGAGGAGCGGCCCGAACACCAGAGCTCCTCCTCGGCCCAGCATGCCTTGTTGCAGCACTCTGATCGCGCCCGAGGCACTCGAGGAGCGGCGGATCTTGATATCACTTCCAACCCGCAGGGGTGGGCAGATAGTTATCCATGTCCACCACCCTCCTCCAACTCCTCCTCCTCCTCCTCCTCCTCCTCCTCCTCCTCCTCCTCCTCGACTCCGAAGCGGTGGACATGGACGCACTCTGAAGGTGCACTCCTTCCCCCTCCCGCGCAGAATCCCGAGGCCGGCCCTCGAATCCGGCCGAAGCGAAGGGCGGGCTGGGCACGAACTCTCGCCGGCTCCCCGCTCCTGCCCTTCTGGGCGGCCCGGCCAGCACACCCTCATGGGGGCCTGCCCCACAGGGCCCGAACCAAGAGATCCAACGCATTGAAAAAATCAAGACAGAGGTTTTTCGCAATTGTCGGCCTCTGGGGGCCCTCGCCGGGCCCCGGGACCGTCAAAAAACGACTGAGGATGACAAACTGGTCCTGAGGAATGGGTCGAGACTTCTGGGGACCCCGTATTGAAAAATCATGACATCGGATGCCTGGGAGCAGATGGGGTCGGAGAGTCGCACCGCATCGCCGATGCATCGCCGACGGGTCGGCGACGTCGGCGACGCATCGGGGCCGCCGGCGTGAAGAAAGTTGGGCTTCGATCGGGGGCGCGCCAACATGGATTAGCGATCCATGGATTTGGGGCGCGGCCGCCAAATCCATGGATCGGGGGAGGTGCCCTCCCCAGAATGCGGCCGGTGCCGCCTCGCTCGGGGGCGGGAATCCGCGATTAGCCATGGAAATGGGACCCGTCGCTAATCCACGCCCCCTTATTGCGATCGCCTGATCGTGGATGCATCGGCGATGCGGCGCGATCCCCCGACATCAGCTGCTCTGGCCCAGCTTGGGAGGCCTGTCGTTGGGGGCTGCCCCCGCCACAGCGGCGGCTCCCCCGCTCGGCCCAGATCCGCTCAAGACCGCCCAGGGAGCCGGGCAGGGTCCGCACCCGCACTTGCGCGCCTAGATTGCCCCCCTCCCCCCTCCTCCCCCTCCTCCTCATCCGCCCTCGTCCTCCCCCTCCTCCTCCCCCTCTTCCTCCTCCTCCGTCCTCCTCCTCCTCCTCCACCTCCTCCCGCCTCCGCCTCCTCCCCCTCCTCATTCCATTCCTTCTCCGTATGGATAACTCGTCCGTGTCGCACCCCGAGGCCAGTTCTCAAGGCGGGCTGGGTGTTGCACCTGACTTCCTTACCATTAATGTCTCTGAAGCTTAAACAGTGACAACCGTTTCCAAGATGGAGGGCGGGTCGCTTTTAACATGTGGCTCTCGCCTGAGCGCCGCGCACATTCGCTTGAACATTTTGCAAGAATTTCGCGGATTGAGGGCGGGCCGTTTTCAACATGTGGCTCTCGCTTTAGCGCCTCGGACATTCGTTTCACACCTTTGCAATAATTTCACGAATTGAGGGCGGGTGGTTTTCAAAATGTGGCTCTCGCCCTAGCGCCTCGCACATTCGTTCTTAAACATCGGCAATCGTTTAACGGATTGAGGGCGGTTCCTTTTCAAAATGTGGTTCTCTCTTCAGCGCCGCGCGCATTCGTTTTACACATTTGCAAATGTTTCACGGATTGAGGGCGGGTGGTTTTCAACATGTGGCTCTCGTCCCAGCGCAGCGCATTTTTTAATATTGTACCCTGGCGACGTACCCAACCCTTGCGCAATGCGGTGCATGAGTACGTCAAGATTGCTACAACAGGGGCGATGACGTAACATGGACGCATGTGATTTTGCGAGCAGCAACCGGAAGGTTCGCAGGCCCCCAATCAAGATCTAAGGAATACGTGACAACAAATCACCCCCCGTTGGCTGTGCCATGCGCCCGTTGCACCCAACGTATCCCACAACAACTCTTGAGAGCCCCCGCGGGATACGTGTAGGCGCAACGTTATGGTCATCGCCCGGCATATGGTCTGTTTCACCAAATCACCCCGTTGGCTGTGCCATGCGCCCGTTGCGCCTAACGTATCCCGCGGCAGCTCTACAGAGCCCCCCCGGGGACGGCGAGGTCTCGCTCAGATCCCCGCGGTGACTCACTCCGCAGAAACCACCAGCAGCCCTCGAGAGTGGCGACAGTGTCGCAGATCGCAGCTTCCCAGGGACGGCGAGGTCTCGCTCAGATCCCCGCGGTGCCTCACTCCGCAGGACCCACCAGCAGCCCTCGAAAGTGGCGACAGTGTCGCAGAACGCAGCCCCCCAGGGACGGCGAGGTCTCGCTCAGATCTCCGCCGTGCCTCACTCCGCAGGACCCACCAGCAACCCTCGAAAGTGGCAACAGTGTCTCGACAGCGTCGCAGTTCGCAGCCCCCCAGGGACGGCGAGGTCTCGCTCAGATCCCCGCGGTGCCTCACTCTGCAGGATCCACCAGCAGCCCTCGAAAGTGGCGACAGTGGCGAGGGACGGCGAGGTCTCGCTCAGATCCCCGCGGAGCCTCACTCCGCAGGACCCACCAGCAGCCCTCGAAAGTGGCGACGGCGTCGCAGATCGCAGCCCCCCAGGGACGGCGAGGTCTCGCTCAGATCACCGCGGTGACTCACTCCGCAGGACCCACACGTAGCCCCCGAAAGTGGCGACAGCGTCGCAGATTGCAGCCCCCCAGGGACGGCGAGGTCTCGCTCAGATCCCCGCGGTGCCCCACTCCGCAGGACCCACCAGCAGCCCTCGAAAGTGGCGACAATGTCGCAGATCGCAGATCGCAGCCCCCAGGGACGGCGAGGTCCCGCTCAGATCTGCGCGGTGCCTCACTCCCCAGGACCCACCAGCAGCCCTCGAAAGTGGCGACAGTGTCGCAGAACGCAGCCCCCGAGTGACGGCGAGGTCTCGCTCATATCTGCGCGGTGCCGCACTCCGCAGGACCCACCAGCAGCCCTCGAAAGTGGCGACAGTTTCACAGATCGCAGCCCCCATCGTCGGCGAAGAAAGCAGGAGGCGGCGGGAGGCGGGATGAGGAGGGACGCGACCACAGTGCTCTAGTCGAAACGAATACCCAACCAAGGAGGGTTGTGGAACCCCTTTCCACCCAATGTCGCAAGACCAAATAAGAGAACGCCCACATTCTTAGACCTCGTCTTTCTTTACATTTTTTCGAGCTGCGTCGACCTATGAAGGCCCCAGGGCCCGAGACAAGGGAAAATCGCCCGTTGTGACAAATTGCACCGCCAGTCGGCAGGCCCCGACTGAGCAATCGCCGCCCTCGGGGACCTAGTGACCCAGGTCAATCCAGAATCGGGTCACTCGGGCCTTGCAGGATTCTGCAGGATCCTGCGCGCTAGCCCAGGTCAGTGCAACCCGGGCTCTGCAGGATCCTGCAAGATCCGGCGCTCTGTCTGTGTCTGACGCCCGTATGAATTGACCCCCGTCTCAAGGCTCCCGACGCCCTCACGCAGCCCTCCCGCCTCTCCGCATATGGGGGGACTAGCGTAGGGAGGGACACGTCGAATCGGAATCGGCGACACATCGCCGACAGCACGGCGATAGGCCTCCGACCAAAAATCCAGACGTTCCTGGGCAGGCTGGGGCTATCGGGCCCCTATCGGCGATCAGTGGGCGATCCGGGGTCGATGCGTCCCCCCCTATGCCTACCCCCCCCTATGCCTATCCCCCCCTATGCCTATCCCTCCCTATGCCTATCCCCCCCCTATGCCTATCCCCCCCTATGCCTATCCCCCCTGTACCGATCCCCCCCTTATTGTTGCCCCTGAAGCAGTCGCCGCCCTCACGCAGCCCCCCCCCGGTCTTTTCTCGGGCACCGCCACGGCCGGGTGCTCCGGCGTGGCGGGCGCCGGCGTGGGCCGCAGGCTCGGGGCGCTGTCCCGCAGCACGACGCTCACCTCTGCGGGGCGCTCCCGCTGGAGGCCCCCCGGAGACGCGCACCTTTTACTGCTTCCGCCGCCTTCCTGGCGCGTCGCTGAATGGGGGGTCTACACATGCGGGGGGGGAAGAAAAGGTGCACCTTTCGGGCTCCTCCAGGCCCCGCTGGGGTCCTGAAGGTTTCCTCTGGGGGCCCCGAAAGGTCCCTTTTCTACTGCCCTCGCTGCCCCCCCCATCCCTCGCCCCCCCCTTTGCGCGGCGCCCAAGTTCCGCCTGCCTTCCTCCCGCTTCCGCCGGCGGCGCCTCGCGCTTCACTTCCCTCCGCCCTGCCGCCGGCCGTCCGCCGAGGAAGAGTTGCCCAATCTCGGCGACCTTGTAGGCGGCAGCCCTTCTGGACTGCCCCATCAGGTCGGGAAACCGCACCCTGGTTACGGTGGGGGCGTTGGTTGAGGAACGTGCGCGGGAGGCTTCAGATCCTGGAAATTTCCTTATCATATGAGGGCGGCGGCAATATCCATGGCCAATCCGCGATTGGAGTTCCACTGGCTTCCAAACCCTGTATTCCTTATCTAATGCTTCCTTAGCCAATGCACCAACCGCATGTGGTTCCCATCGTAATCAAGTTTCGGTCGGGCATGTCCTCCCACGGGCGAATTCAGCAGGAACAAAAACAGGATGCTCAAACAGGGCCAACAAATAATCGGAACCCCAATGTTTTCACGACGGTTACGTCTGAACACAAGCGCTGCAATACAACAGATTCTTCCACGCTTCCACGTCTTCTCCCGTGTCCTGCGCATCCGTGATCTCGCAAGGGCCCGCAAAGGGCCGCGCGAAGGCCCCGAAGACTCCAAAAACACCATGGTTCCCAGCAAAGACCGGTGATGCACAAGACTCCACAAATAACTGTGACGCAACCAGCTCTAGCGCAAAGCTTTTCAGAGAACGCGCCAGGTCGGCGAGGTGTCAACACCCCAAAAACCAAAACCAAACCCCAAAGAGGCTTTCCAACAACCGCTGAACATCTCCAACAACCGCCGAGAATCCCCTCATCCTCGTCATGCTCCTCCTTCTCCCTCTCCCCCACTTCCACTTCCCGCTTCCTCGTGCTCCTCCTCACCCTCAACATCCTGCGACGCCTGCCCCTCCCCCCCCACCCCCCTCCACCTCATCATGATCCTCCTCCGCCTCCTCCTCCGCATCCCACTCCGTTGCTTCCATTCCCACTCCTCATCAGCATCCTCACCGCTCGCCGTCGTCGCCGGTCATGACCGCCATCGTGCGCTTCCGGCAACAACGGAAGCGTCCCGGATCGGCGGCACTGGTCGGAGGCCACTACAATAATCGGAAACTCGGCCCCAGACTATTTCTGGACTACTTTGGAATATTCCTCCTGTGGAGCGGCGTGCCCGACCTGAACGTAAGCACCACATCCCAGAAAACATCTCGAGCACCCCAAACAAGTATCGAAACAGTGTCTGCCCGACGCGCTGGCCAAGTGTCGAACCGGTATCGCCTCCCAGGGCCCGACACGTGAGCACCCTCCAGTTTCTGTACTTTCTTGGCGCTCTGAATTCTCTCAGGTGATCAAGGTGAAAATCGATTGGAGCATCATGGCACCGCAAACCTTCTCGCGTCGTGGACACGCATCGAGGCGGGACTTTTGGGCTCCTTTCGGCCTCCAGCGGCAAAACAAAGCAAAATACGGCAGAAACAATTTTCTCGGGAGTCCGCGGGAATGTGTTGGATCGGCGCTGGACTCCCCGTCCTCGTGTCTTGCAATTTCTGTTCCCAACTCTGCGCGCAATCGCTGCTCGGGGCGCTCAAAAATCAACTGAGCCTCAGCTTCCCCTGCGATTTGGCAACAGCCGATTGCACAGTGTGCGGGGCAACAGCATGTATGATATAAAAGCTCGGGCGAATTCTGCCCCATGGCTATCGTGAGCGCCCGCGCCGATCAGGAGGCTGGTGATGGAGTGCAACAAGAAACAGCAACAACCGACGCTCAAAATGTACTCGTACTCCCGTTGTCATGCTTTGTTCGTTGTGGATCCGATTGCATTGCCGCGCACATGCGCCACCGCGCGAACTTCGACGGAGCCTTTACATTGTGGGCGAGATTTGCCCAAACTATTGCAATCCGCGCCCCAAGCCCTAAAGATTGCTTACGCGTCCCACAACTCATTCCAATCCAGGCCCGGCGAGGGCCCAAGCCAGCCAACCTGCGAGGAGATCCCGAGCGAAAACTGCCGAACGCCACTGCTGGTCAGCAGCTGCGGTGTCCTTCTCGCTGTGCAGGCCAGCCGTGGCGGCCTCCTGCTGGTCTTGACCAGCGGAGGCTGCCTTTTGCCAACACAGGCGGGCTGGCGGCGGCCGTCCCCTGGTGGCCTTACGATGACGGCCTCCCTCTCCCCCTGGTCGGGCCGGTCGGCTGCGGCTGCCATTCTTGCCTGTCGGGCTTGTCAGCGGTAGCGTTCTCTTGTGATGCTTGCTGGTCGGCGATGTCCCATAGAGGTGACGATGGAGAGAAGTGGAGCGCGCCCATGGGGGACAGATCCTCCGAACGAGCAAACGCTGAAATGACGACGCTGCTGAGATTGTCGCTACTGGTTGAACTTCCGATGCTTTTGAAAATCATGGGCGTTATATCCTGCGACGATCACCGTCAGTTACAGCAGCCGTGGCGCGTCTAATCCTGCAGTTGTGGAAGCTCCTGCAGTGCACCTCGATGTTGCGAACTATCGCTGCTGCTGAACCTACTGATGCTCTCAAATTCTTGGGTATTCCATTCCTGCTCGAGTCTCACCTCACAACCCTGGCCTACTAAACTGATTGCTGGGGTCGCACTCGAAGGAACTTGCAAAGTTGAGCTTCCAGACGTGGCAGTAGAACGGCGACGCGAATGGCCAAGACAAGCATGGCCGTTAAGACTATGTACAATCGTGGATAGGTATCGGCCATCGACCTGTCATAATGATACGTCGCCATCAGGAGAGCCAGGCACTCACCGCGAATCCCAACAGGTATTACGTCAAACATGGAGGGTCAAACTGCGGGGCAAACAATCCACACACACACAAAGATCATGGGTAATATGGCAAGGGACGCAGTTGAAGCCGGAGATCCAGCTCGCGCCTGTCTGCATGCGCCGATTGGTGATCCACGACCCTGTCCGTATCTCGGGCGCTGATACCGCCCGCGCCGCGTGCGCTTGCCGACGCGCACGAACACCAAAGCGCTCCAGCAGTCGACGCAGAATACGGCCCACAACTGGTGGAGGGAAGACAGACTGCATAGTAATACGACGGCAATGCACATGTTACGCCAACGGACCGCATCGCGTCACTCACCGTCCTCAGCGACGCTTGCACGAAGCGGGAAGGAACCCCAGCAGGACGAACTCGATGAACAAGCGTTGGCAAGGACAAGTGTCTCCATCCACCTTTTGCCTGGCAGTGCTCCTTCCATACTTCGGCCCCGCGCTGTGGCGAAATCCCGCAGCAGCACGCGGTGGCTTTCTGCCAAATCGAGGGAGCGATGTTGTCATCAGAGCCCCGCGAGCAGCCGAGTTCTTGCCCACAGAGGAGCGACGACTGACTGAACAATAACAAGCGCTGCCGTTCAAATGTGCACGTCGGTCGGTAAACGTATGTAGAAATATCAAAGAGAAAGGTGGATAAAGTAGATCGAGTTCGGGCCCGCCCAAATAATAGCAGACAACAACCAAAACATATCGTTCCTTGAAGTAGGAAGACGCTTGAAATGGTTTGGGAATTTAGAAAGACCTACTTTCAACGACCGACGTGTACTTCACGGACGCGTCGCCCGTACCGCTCGGTCTCCCAGCGCAGCATTGTTCCAATTCGCCTTCGGCGGGCCCTCCTGCGCAGGCGTAGCCTTGGCAATCGGCGCCCACTGCGACCACAGCTGGCCGCCCACCTTGACGATGAAGGTGCCAGCGGGAAGTCGCAGAAGCCAAGTACGCACAAGTTTTCTCAAACCAATTCTTCAGCCGCCTCGTCGCGTTTCCTGGCGACGCCGGCGAACAGCGGCTGGTGCCCCGAGGCCTCCCGGACGCTGGACTGCGAACTCTCGCCGAGGTGCGCTCATGCAGGCGCGCAGCGGGCCGCGCCTGCCTCTTGCGCGGCTCGCGCGTCGCAGGAGGAGGCTCCTGGAAAGCGATCGTGGCAGTGCGGCTGAGCTCGTCACCCAGCGTATTGCCCGCTCTCGCGCGGCCCCGCTGGCGCTGTCGCTTCCGCGCGATTCGGCGAACGAGCCATGCGCCGCGGCCGAGCTGGACACCGCTTCTGAAAGAAATGCGGGGGCAACAGGTCGCCCACCCGCCCGTGCCCCTCGAAATTGGCGAGTAAACAATTTGCCGCGCGTCGAAGCGGGAGCGTCACTTTCAGGCGAAGTCTGCGCAGCGCCAAGGCGAAAGCTACATGTTTGTTTGCTCGCGCATCGACGTGGCGTACGAATCATGTGCTCCGCGCCCCAGCGGGAGCTCTATGCTCTAGAAAATTGAAGGCGGCCCCGAACCGAGAGCAACACTTCGGTATTTCGCACGGGATACGCGCCCCGCCCATACATTTTGCAGCATGGGCGACAACATGTCCATGCTGAAACTGCAATCGTCGACGTTGCATTGTTCCCCACATCCTAAGTGGGGATCTTGGTTTTTTCTGCACACCTCCGCGCAGGATGACCTCCCATCTTTCCCCCCTTTCTTCCACCTCACCACCATCACCATCGCAATCGTTATCACACCCATCACCAACAACACCACCATCATCGTCAACACACACACAAAAAATAATCATCATCATCACCACCACATTGTCACACCCAGACCTTGCTTCCCACTTCGTCATACCACCGTCACCAAACAATCACCGTTCACCATCACTCACCATCACTCACCATCACCATCAACTTGATCACACATTCAGCACTGTCACCATCCCGTCGTGACCATCGACCAATAGGGGTTCGTATGTAAGTTACTTGTGAGGACGTCTCAGGCGGGAGCCCCCTTCCTATGGGATCCGCATGTATGTTGGTAGTCCGAGCGGGCCATCGCAGTCCTGTGATTGTCGTCACTTTTCAGCTCCAGTGGATTCAAGGTGGAAGCGGTTTTAGGTTACCACGTCGGCTGTGAGTGACTTGCGAAGGGATCTCGGGCGAGAGCCCCCTCCCTATTGGGTCCGCACATGGCGTCTGTAATCCGAAATCGTCACCGGAATCCTGCAGCGGTCGCTCTGGGCTGGATATTGAAGAAACTTCAAGCGGGAGCTTCGTTTGTGGGTGAATTGCGAGAAACTCTCTAGCGGGAACCCTTCCCTATGGGGTCGGCGCTTCACGTTGGTAGTCCGAGCGGGTCATCGAAATCCTGTAACTGTCGTCGCCTGTCGATTCCTCTGGACTGAATATGGAAGGAGGGTCAGGCGGGAGCTTCGTCTGATGGAATTGCGAGAAAATCTCACGCAAGAGCCGCTTCCCGATGGGGTCCGCAGCTCATGCTGGCAATCCGAGCGGGTCATCGAAATCCTGTAGCCGTCGTCACTTTTCGGCTCCCGTAGACTGAATATGGAGGAAGGCTCAGGCGGGAGCTTCGTCTGTGAGTGACTTGCGAAAACGTTTCAGGCAAGAGCCCCGTCCATATGGGGTCCGTAACTCACGTTGGTCATCCAAGCGGGCCATCGGGATCCTGTAGCTGTCGTCACTTTTCGGCTCCAGCGGCTTGCTCTCGCGCCCCAGCGGCTCGCGGGGTTGTCCCAACGGCTGTTGCCCCGACGGCTTCGCGACCTTGCCATCGGAGAACGCGCCCCTGCGGGGCGCGGCGGCGAAAACGCAGAGGAAAATCGGCATGCGCCCCCCTACCAGGAGGAATGGTAGGTGCAGAAGGAAGACTGGCGGGGTGGAGATGAGGAGGGGGGGGGGGGGGGGGTGGGAGGAGGAGGAGGAGGAGGAGGAGGAGGAGGAGGGGAGGAGGAGGAGGAGGAGGAGAGGCGGAGGAGGAGGAGGAGGATGTGAGATGTGAGATACCAAGGGGACGCAGTGTCCCTCCAACCACCCTGCGAGCTCTCAGGAGGTCCCTCGTTGGAGCCCTCAACAGAGCTCTCAAGAGGTCCCTCGTTGGAGCCCTCGAAAGGAGCCGTTCCTACTCCTGACTGCAGAATCAGGGTAGCGTCCTTGGCCCCCTGTGGCAAGCCCGCGTAGCTCGGGAGCTTGCCCTGCTTGATTCGTGTGAGATTCTGACGCCCCCTCTTGGTGGGGCTGTGGCACAGCTCGGCCAGCCCAGCAATCTTGAGGGTAGCCGTCGAGCCGCACACATTGCAAACATAAAGCATGTGCTCCTGCCACAGGTACAGCTCATGTGACTGGTGGACCTCTTGGTTCCCAAGGATCACGTACGAATTACTCTTCACAATGCTGCTCGGGACGCCCCCCCCCCGCCAACTCTACGCGCAAGGGCGGGGGTGCACGAAGACTCGGCCGCTTCCTCGACCCTGGACCCAGGAACCAGAAGACGGCCAGCAGAGCACAGCCCGCAACCGCCTTGGACGGGGGTCCAAGCGTGCTGGCTGGCCGCCAAGGCTCGGGTGAGCTTTGGCTGAGGAGCGGTCCGGATCTTCGGAGGCCTCTTAGCCTCCCAGGCGTCTACTTCGAGCGTGTCAGTCAGGGCCCTCCTTGCACGAGTCCTAACCTGCGCGGCAATAGTGCCACATGCATCCGTGTGCGGGCCGACGCCGATGAGGGCCCGAGAAGGGGCCTCTTGGGCCGCGACGCCCGCCAGGGCATCGGCACAGGCGTTCCCAGCAGCACGGAAAACCACACTTGGCGAGACCAACAGGTGGGCCTGCTCGCCCATATGGGACGGGATCCACGCAGCGGAAATCTCGGCAGCTCTCTGGGCCCCCCTGGAGGCAATGCCCCGCTTCGCGCGAGCCCATAGGTCCCCATTCAGCCCAAGAGGAGAGGCCTGCCTCCCCGAGAGCCACCCAATATACAAGGCACGATTGTCAGTGTAAAAGATAAAGGGGCCTTCTGTCGCCTCAACGGCCAGGGCGAAGGCCAAGAGCTCAGCGCGCGGGGCAGGCTGGCGCGCTGGCAGCCCGCCCAGGGCGCCTCCCTCGAGGCGCCAGGCGGCCGCCTCCTCGTCAAAGGATACGGAGCAAAAAGCGGCTCCGCAACGGCGGCGGCGGGGGTCCGCAGTGTGGGCCCCCCCGCTGCCGTCTCCAAACAGATGGAGCACTCCATCAGCTCCGCGGGCACCTCGGGAGTCGCCAACCTCGAAGGACCACTCCGCAAGGTCTTCGTCGCGCTGCGGCGTCGTGAGGTGCAGCGCGGGGAGACCACGAAGCCACAGCGACGGCTGGCTCTCGTGCTGGACGCTGGCCTGCCCCACCAAGTGGTTGGTGGAGTCGTGCTCCTTGCACCCCCGATTCGCAGGGCAATGCCAAATGCGGTGATGCAGGGTCTCGTCCTCGTGGCCGCAGCGGGGGCAGGTGACAGACTCCAGCTCGTAGCCCGCCTCTCCCTGCCTGAGCCGCGGCCATTGGCCACCTGAAGTGACCGCGATGTTCTGCGCGTGCGTGTCCACCTGGCCTCTGGAGAGGTAGTGCTGCTGCTCGCGGGCGATGATGGTGGCATCGGCACCCTCGCACAAGTCGTCGCCGTGCAGGTGCTTGCTGGCCACGCTCCACATCGCCCGCTTGAGGTCCATCACGAACTCGTCCTGCGCCGCCGGCGTGTCCATGTCCAGATCCTCGTGGCCAGGAAGGCGCCATTCCACACCACTGGCCGTCGTCCACGAGCGCGCCGTAGTAGGCGACCAGCCCGCGCCCAGCAACATCGCCATGAGCGCGGCCATGGGGCCGCGCACAGCTCGCCACCTCCGCTTGGGGCCTGCCCTCATCAGCTTGGCCAAGACGCTGGGCCACGCGCACTCGATGCGACTGCGGAGCTGCGGGGCCCGCCTCCAGAGGTCGAGCCATTCGCCCAGGAGCTGGCGCCTGAGCTCCAGGCCAGGCTCCTTGTCGCCGTGGAGGGTGGCGAGGATGCTCGTGAGGCATCTCCCGGGCCCTTTGCCCGCTGCCGATAGTGCAGCACACCTCCTCAGCCTGGGGATGGCCGAGGGCGCCAGGCCGAAGGCCTGGTGCCCGTGCGTCGACCTCGGCAGCGCCGCAGTAGACCACAGCGCCTTGGTCACTCGGGACAGCTGGACATGGCACCTCATCCTGAAGATGCGGCGGAACTGGCACTGCCCCGCCTTCCTCCTGGTGGGCGCCCTGCGCTGCGTGCGCACTCGCCCCGCGGTGGTGTCCACGCCGAGGTCCACTTCGTGGTTGGTAGCCGCGCAGGGGGCGCCTCTGCGCACCAGCGCGCGGTGGAGGTCCTTGGCCAGCTGCGGGTGGCTGGCGATGACCGCGGTCTTGCAAGAGACCTGCAGGTGCTGCTCGTCGAGGCCAGCCTTGAGGGACTCCGCCACGCCGAGGATGGTGGACCGAACGTGCTCCAGCTTGCCCTCGGCCCTCGCTACTGCGTCGTCGACGAAGGTCCACAACTGCGCATGCCCCCACTCAAGGTGGGCAGCCCGCAGTATGGGCGCCAGGAACAGCTTCGCACACTTGTTGCCGTGGGGGCCGCCCTCCACCACCGAGCGCTGCGGCGCTAGTCGAGGCCCCAGCCACCGCTGCTGGCGGAGGTGCCGCGGGGCCATGAAGAGCTATGTCTCCAGGGCAAGCGCCGCCGCAGGGAAGCCCAGGCGGAGCCCCACTTGGAGTAGCCGAGAGAACCCAATGCTGTCGTAGAACTTCTGGATGTCCAGCAGCAGAGTCGCCGTGTGGAACCCCATCGACAGCGACGTCTCATCCATCAACGCGCGGGCGATTGCCGCCCTGAGGGCAGAGCTGCCCTTGATGGCGGTGTCCCACCACTGGTCCTGGGAGGCCTCCCACTCGTCCGTGACGGTGGATCTCGCCTTGGACCAAATCTTGGCCGTCGTCGCCAACATGCCAATGACTCGGTCCCCTCAGCAGGCTTCGGCACCGCGGCTCCGATCGTAGTGGTGAGCTGCCATGGCCAGATAGCCCGCTGTTCGACAAAGTTGAGCAGGTCGACCAGCTGCTGTCGCGCCGACGGGGGGCAGCGAGCAATATCCAGTGCCGTGATGTTGTCGATGCCCTTCGCCTTCTTGGGCGACGTCCGGGACGGCGCCACATCCAGCCTCTCCAAGGTGATGGGCTCCAGGGGTTCCTCAGCAGCATGCGCGCGGAGACCGCCCAAATCCTGTAGGACCTTGCCCTCGTCAAACTCAGGGTCCGACCGCGCCTTTTCCCAAACTTCAGTCTTCACTCGCATGATAGTGGACGGGTCGGCAACAGCAGTGTCCCGCAAAAGCGCCTCAGTCTGCTGTGCCTGCGGCTCGCGCACGTGCCTGTGCACAACACCCGCCTTGGACTTCCAGGACTCCTTCGCCCACTCGATGAAGCCACGGCGCGCCTTGGCATGGGATCTGCCCAAGGCTCTGCTCGCCCAGCGCTCGGACACCTCAATGAATGGATCTAGTGCGCCAATGAGGTCGGAGGATGACATGAGGTGGAAGTCGTCTCCGATGGACGCAAGGAGAGCATCCTTCGCATGCCTCCACTCCTCCAACTCAGCACTGAGAGCATTGCCAAAGTACCTGGCGCGGTGGCCCTCGTCCGCGATGGTGTCGCGCCGCTGCTCGAGGTCGCCCAAGACGTAATCCAACTGGTCGCTGTCCGTGTTGTTCGCCACCAGGGCGCGGGCCCGAATGGCCAAGGTCGTCAGGGTGCTCCACAGCTCGACACCAGCGTCCACCGTGTGGGCCCTCCCTGGGGTGGTGTTCGCCTTGACCCGCTCGGTGGAATGCCCATGCGCCCGACCTCGACAAGCCCTGGTCTGATCAGGGGGGATCCGCTCGACGGCAATGTGGGCCTCCTCAAGCTGGGAGATCCACTTGCCATGCGCCAGGCTGACCTCCTGGACGTCGTCAGGGCGACTGGCATTGATGAAGTACTCCATCTGACCAGCTCGAGGGATAGGATCTCCCAATTCAGGGCAACAGCTGGACCAAACGTCCTCCGTGATGAAGAACAGCTTCGCACCCTCAGGGTGCTGGTCCTCCCCCTGCTCGTGGATCTCGAGGAGCGTCTCCTGGGGCCGCCGCGGCAGGGCGCGGGCCCGCGACTGCAGGGCCTCCGCCTTGCGCCTCGAGGTCTTGCTCTCTGGGTCTGGCTCCTTGGGCGGCCTCTTGCCACCTGCGGTCGGAGCCCTCGATGATGACCTCGATCGCACAGTGGGTCTTCCACGGGACGTCGAAAATGGCCTGAAGGCGGAGCCGATGATGCCACCCTTGCTTAGCCACTGCATAGTCGTACATGCGGCCCTGACCCTTGTCACAAGTCGTTCTTGCATTCGATGGGGTAACCACCGCGCCGCCAATCTTGCCGAGCCACTCGCTCCTGCCCCACTCAGGGGGCTCGAGGTTCCAGTCCGCAAGGAGGACCCACGGGTCGGACAGGGTGGGCACGTAGCTGCCCACCGCCAGGGGCCGATTGCGGTTGGCGCCACCAAACTTGAGTCCTGGCTGCAGGTACATCGCCACCAATACAACATTGCCCCCCTTCAGGTGGAGGACCACAGGGCAGAAACCGACGAAGATCTCCTTCCCCGTGGCTAGAAGATGGCGACGTCGATGGCACTCGTACGTCGTCGCCGCCAAGGTCTTGTCGAGGCGCCACATCTCCCCTCCAGAGGTGCCCGACTTAGCCTTGCCAGAGGGCGTGGCCGGCGTGCCAGCCACCCTCCAGCCACCCTTGCCCAGGGCCACTTGGGTGGCCGTCAGCTGCTCCGCCGTGGCGTGGGTCTCCGCGAACGCGATGGCCTTGTACTTGCGTTTGCCCCTCTCTGCGAGGAACTTGGCAGCCTGGGGGCCGTGCTCAATGATCCTGGCAAGCAGGATGGACGCCTGCTTGCCCCTTGTTCTCTGTCGACACCTCTCCTCAGGAGTGCGTCGCTGCGGTCTGCGCGTCCCCGCGAGCCCTGGCCGCTGGGAGCTCACTGCGCCAGTGGCTGACGTTGGCCTCCACGCGGAAGGCTCATCCATGCACTCGTCGTGCGCGTAGGGCTCATCGTCCAGGTCCGCGAAGACGTCAGCCTCCCCCTGGTCCATGTGGCGGCATAGGCTGGCAGGGGCAGGGGCCCGACCCGTCACCGAAGGCATCGGCCACCCGCCCGTCGGCGGCTTCGGCGACGGGGATCGCATGGAGTGAGGACTCGGACACCCGCGCGGCCGCGGCACACTCTCGATGCGTCTAGCCCCGCTCCCACCTGCCATTATGCCCAGCCGCCATTGCTCCATGTCGACGTACCGCGAGGTCCAGGCCGACGTGTAGTCGGGCGGGTGGAAGCCCTGCGGCACGGAGTCGCTAAAGCTGCCCCCCCGCAGGCCCAGCACCAGCAGGAGGAGCAGCTGCAGGGGCCCCGCCAGCAGCGGCAGTCGCCGCCTTGGCCTTCTCGGCAGCGGCGGTCTTGGCCGCGCGGTTGGCCATGGACGCGGCCTCGCCAATCTGCTTGGCACTGCGCTCCTGCTCCGCTGCCTCCTTGTCAGCGCGGGCCTTGGCTGCTGCCTCGGCTGAGCCCTCTGGGGCCTGGCCGCCTGCGGCCGTCGTCGCCTCCGAAGCCGCATGGGCCTCCTGGCGCGGCGGCGGGACAGGCGCTGCGGAGGCGGGGTCCTCCTGCACCCGCCTGCGCTTCTTCTGGGCCTCACGGAACTCCTTGACCCTCTGCTGCTGCATGCGGCAGTTGGCCTCGAAGTTGGCCCTCGCTTCCTCCATGATGGTCTTGCCCTCAGTGCAGAGCTTGCGGAGCTCCTCCTGGACCTGCTCCTCCAAGTCCTCCCAGTCCTCGAAATTCTCGGCGTCGAAGTTGAAGGTGACCTGGCGGGACGGGTCGACGGATGCAGCCGCAGCGCCCGTCTCTCTGGCCCTGAGGATGAGGAGGTCGGCCTCCTCGCGTTGGGCGGAGTCGAAGTTCGCCGCGCACTGGTCACGCCACTCCGTCGCCTCCGCAAGCTTGTCCTCTGCCTCCGTGTGCGCGTTGGCGGCCTCGTCGAGGATTTTGCGCCAATTCAATCGTCGGTCCGTAGCTGACTGCAGCTTCTGCGCCAGGGTGCGCACGGCCTGGGGCGGGGGCGCAGCCTTGTACTCCCTCGCCGCCTTGAGCACCCGCTCGAGCTCGCCGCGGATGCCCTCGTCAGGGCGCGCCAGGAGACGCGCGAGCTCGTCACCGGCACCACCCTGCGATACCCATGGGGCATCAGGAAAGGCTTGACGACGCTCACCCTGTCCTGGGCGTGCAGGCTGGGGGGCGCCCCCGTCGGCCAGAGGCTGTGAGGCCTTGCCACGCTTGGGGCCACCGCCGCCAGGGCCCGCCCCCCACACGCCTCCTGGCTGCTGCACGCGGCCAGGAGAGGGCTTGAGCGGGCTCTCACATGTCCAGCACCAGTGGTTGCGCCTGAAGTTCCAGGCGTAGCTGCAGGACTGGCACTTGGCGTATCCCTCGGCAGCGCGGCGCGCCTCCTGCTGGCTCTTCCCCATGCTGCGCGAGAGGGACAAAGAGTGCTCACCTGCGGGCAGCAGGAGGCTCGAGGGTCGAACAAAACTGTCGGGCTCGGGAACCCTGGCACTGGCCGCGGACTAGCGGTATCCACGTGTTCCCCTGTGGAACAAAGCATCTTGAGCCAAAATGGCTACGTAGAGGAGGAGGAGGAGGAGGAGGAAGAGGAGGAAGTGGAGGAGAAGGACGAGGAGAAGAAGGAAAAGGATTAAGAGGGAGAGAAATAATTGAACAATGAGGGCGATCAGGAGGAGGAGACGGAGGACGAGGAAGACAATGAGGATGAGGAGGCGGCGCAACAGAGGGCGAGACGGGGGGCTTCGGCCAGGGCGAAGAGGAAAGAGTGAAGGGCAATGTGAATGCATTATCATGTGGGGGCCGTGTCGTCAAAGTAATTGTTCTGTTTGCGCGTAGGGTGGATGGTCCAGGACTTGGCCCACATCGGCCGGGGAGAGGGCAGCTTAGGAAACCACATATACATGTATATATCTATATATATATATATGTATGCATATATATATATATGTGTGCACATACATATAATTATATGTGTGTATATATATATGTAGGTATGGATACGTATATTCATGTCTATACGGAAAAAGGGTAGAGTAGGGTAGAGTAGGTTAGGTCAGGGTATTAGAAAGCAGAGCAGGGTAGACGGTAGTGTAGAGTCGGGCAGACTATAATATTTTCTCGTAGTGTAGAGCTGAGCGGAACAGAGCACACCCCAGTCCAAGTCCAGTCTATTTCAGTCCACTCCAGCTGACTTCGTTCCAATATTCCAATCTATCTGGGGTCTGCGCTGGCTGAGAGGCGGCGCGAGCGTGGGTGCCGCGTACATCGCCTCCACAATTCGCTGCGCGTGATGGGGCAGACCTCGTGCTGTTCGCGCCGTCTGTGCTGGCACGATCTTGCTCCCGACCAGGTGGCCCGGAATCGCGCAGAGGAGGAGTCCAAGAATCGTTCCGATCGTGTCAAGAAGATGGCTCACACTAGCGATGTTTGCACTTCTTGTCCTTGCGCAAACAAGTCGTCGGTATGATAAGAACGATTTCCATCCGCAAGAACGCTGCAGAGAGGAGTACAATGCGGACGTGCCCCCCCGCCAAGAACTCACTGAACATCTTCGGGGCGGAGCAGCGCACAAACGGTATCCGTTGCTGCATTGGGGCTTGAAACCCACCGCAGCATGAAGCATGAGCCACACATGCTGAGGATAGAGGGCGATGGTAATGATAGTATGAGTTCTAGCAGTTGGAGAAGGAGGGTGGTGGCACAAGACGAGGGGAGAACGAGGAAAGGAGGACGAGGATAATGAAGACAAGGAAATCACTGTCGGATGCGACGTTGAAGTCGACGTGGTTGTGACCTGTGCGGGCTCCCCTCCAGGCCTTCCTTCCTCCCTGCCCATCACCTCTCTTCCCATCCTCCTACCCTTCGCCCCTCCCCCCCAGGACCCCCCCCCGGGAAGGCCTCCCCTCTCCTTCTGCCCCCCTATCGCGAAACGCCGAGCAATACAATACCCAGTCTTCGGGGTGCGCTGTACCACCTCCTCCGAACTTCCGAAGAAACAGCCACGCTACACTGTTCCGAGTCCCCGACCCACCCCCCGGGCCACACACCCTGAACCTGAGGGGTAAGCAGGGCGACCCGACCAACATTCCAACCCGTCCTTCGGTAGCAATTACCTGTCCCCTGTTGCACTCTCGTCGGTCCCCGCTCCAGGATGGCCTCGGGAACGGGCTGGGGAGGGTGATCGTGGGAACAGAGACAATATCAATCGCACGCCGACGTGGTGAATCCGTCAGCGTGTCTCCCTGAGAGCACCAAGTCTTCGGGCAAACAGCGAGAGAGTGACACGCTGACAGGCTCCTAGCGACGGCGTGTCATTGATACTCTTCCCCCATCTCTGGTGTGCAACGACGGGGCGACCAGCGTCTCCAGGAGCGGCGCGCAGCGCCAACAACAACTTTGGCATCAGACGCCCAGCGACCGGCGGCTGGCTGGGCGTGGTCGGGGCGCTCTCCGCGGTGGTCGTGACGGCGGCAGGGGGCAGGCTGAGGACGGCCGCGACAGCTGCGGAGGTGCTCGTGGCAGCAGTCGCCTCGGCCCCTCCGGAAGCGTTTCCGAGGTCCGGACGAGATGCTGTCAGCAGGGTCCCGGGTAACCGACCCTGTTCTCCTGCCAAGGGAGAGGCTCAGTCAGGGAGGGCCTTGGAGAAAGCAATCCTTCAGACGCGCGAGCTGATGCTTCAGATCGTTATGTGGAGTACTGGCCGCTGTATCACAGGCAGTGCGGTACAAACCACCATTCTGCCAATATGTATTATCTCCCCGAAAACAGTCAACCAATGCTACTCGTTGATTCGACTCCACGGATGTGTGAGATCGACTCCTGACCTCATCCACTTCCACGATCGCATGCCACGCACAAATCAAACGATCGGCACGGGTCGATCCTGCGATCGTGCTGGGCTGGCCACGCCAACAAGGAATACGCGACTGGAGGCATACACAAGGAGCGTGAATCTCGAGCGGGGGAGGCATCATTCGGAAGGCCGCAAACCAATCGTTCGACAAAGGTGCGTGCTCCAGTGAGCGATCTCGGTGCGAGCCGCGCAAAGAACAAGGCGAACTGTAACAATGTGCTGCGCAAACTGTCTAGCAACGTGCCGACAATGTAAGCCTACACAGAACTCTACCAACGTGCTGTGCCACCCGCTCCTGGGAGCTGCAGGCGGCTGTGGCCCTCGGGAAGCCCAACGTGGAGAGGTCTCGTGTTCCCGAGCATGCTTTAGCATAAGAGGGTATCTTACCCCGTCGTAGGGATTGCGTGTTCCGAAACCTCTGCTGGCTTTGCTGCTGTGGTTGTTTTCCTACTTCGGGTCGACGTCAGGGAAATCATGGGCCCTGAAAGCGGTTTACTAGACTCTCTGCGTCTCGACGGGTTTCCCAAGCCCGCCATGGCGTTATGAGTGATGTTTTACATCCTAGTCTCTAGCGTTCTGGTGAACACGTCCTGGATAATTGGGGGATGTGCATCTTTCTTCGAGGGGCTGGGCTAGTTGGCTCCCGCCAGCGCCAGCCCCTCCGCCCTCCTGTCCCTTGCCCATGGTTTTGTCTTATGTTCTCCTCTTCGTCTAATCTTCCTCCTCCTGGATCTGGTTCTGGTGCACGTTTCTGGTGGCAGTGCGA